CCCGGCACCTACCACTTCCGCACCACCATCCTGCCGCAGCCCGACCTGCTGCGCCACATGCTCGATGTCTTCAAATCCTTCCACGAGAAGTTCACCAAGCAGTACTCCTAGAAATCGCCCCGCCTCGCCCTTCCACTGTAACATCTATCAAATATTACAGACCATACTTCACACATATTTTAGAGTAAAAAAATATATATGTGCTAAATACTTGTATGGAACTTTTTATCACTTGGTAGTCATTTTACCGGCGTATTCTTGAATGAATCGAAATGCATTTTGTATGGAACTGCAGTCGGTCATTTCCTATCATTAAAAACCTATTTTGTCGAATGCAAAGAATGGCGCGCAATAATTGACCTTCCAGAGCTGCAAGTCGACACGCGGATGTATGAACATGGAATGCGATAATTGAGTACAATTCTTGACAAGCAATTGTCGCAAGTGCTGTTAACACAAATGTGATTATGTTAAGACTAATTGGTTACAAGTTTCGAGTTGTCTACACAGCTTGTATGAGTATTGCACGAATATGCAGGTACAAATATAACATTGCTGCAAGTGTTGACATTTTTAGAAGAAGTAATGAGTCAAAAAGTGTAAAATTTAGTTTTATTCATTCATTGCATTGTTAATCGACCTAGCAATTTAAAATATCGCAATTAATAAAAAAAGTCTATGGAATACAGAAAATGAAAACGAGAAACGAGAAGTTCGTAATGCTGCCCTCTCAGCAAATATAAATATAAATTCGGAGTTGGATCTAAGAATATAATAATCAACATAAAAACATTGCATTATGGATGTATAAACTTGTTCTTTAAAAACCCAGGAAATATTTGGGTTTGCATTTATTTATAAGAAAATGCTAATTACTATGTATCTGTGTGTACTCCGAGTCGTGTTTTATTTTGTTGTTTTCGTACAAGAACATCTTAATAGTAATTTGTTATCATTTACAGGAATTATTTTTGTAAAACTTTATTTATTTCGAACAATAATCGAATGAGATTTTTGATGTTCCAATTTGTTGAATAAATTTGTTACGGTTTGTTATACATGAATTGAATAAAAACGTGATTTAATACTTTTTGTTATTTCATTCAGAACGTACACCTGTGTGACAACCTGACAACCGTTGTAATAAGCAACCTAAAACCTCGATAATCGAGAGTCCAAGGAACCGCAACATTTATGCCGCTTCTATAGTTTGTCTTTTGACATTTATAAGATAACTTAGTTTGATAAATGACGCATACGAAGTATCGAATTCAATTTGTATGAAAGCATATGCCATACATAAAAGAGAGGTGTAGTACTATTTCTATCTTTATATTCCATACTATATAAAAGTAAATATTTGTATTGTATGTTACGAATAAACTCAAAAACAACTATTTTACAGTAACAGCCTTCTAAACGTTATTTACGGTGGTTTGTTTCGGAGGTTAACTTTTTCATGGGTTTGTCTATTCGTATGGGTTACTGGTAACAGAAACAGTGGTGTTTGGCAGGAGCATGCTCGAGGACAATCAAACTTCAGCAGTATTATGTAATCAATGTATTTTACACATTTACTTCGACAAAGTCCAGTCGAACAACTTACATATCTATGATAAACCCGATACAAAAATATTTTCATCTCCTTACGTGTTATATTGACAGATTTATACTTTTTACATTTTATGTAGATAATATCATAAACTATTTATATATAACAATTTTTCAATGAAATGTGCTTCATATATGGAATGTTGTGATGCTGCATTCAAATTCACACAGGGAGTCACTGGGCTGCCTAGACCTCAGCGCTCCTAGGAGTCGGCGCAGGGCGCAGTTGTATGTATGTACATACACTGCGAACGGAGCGCATATAAGTATTTACAATTTATGTTCCATTTCAACCTCCACATCGATTACTTTAAACATTAACAAACAACAGAAAGTGTATCTCACACGTTTATGGCAAATCGACAATGATTCCATATAAAAATCTAATAAATTTTACCACTTAATAGACAATTAGAAAACACAACATAGCTATATTTTACATAGTCTTAAAACAAAATAAATAAATTATCCTCTAGACAGTGTGTCGCTTATTGTCAAATCAATTTAAAAGTCTACAGAGAACAACAATATCTTAACTAGTCGTTTATGTACTAAGTCATTTGTGTCACTAGCGGTCGGCGCGCCCCGTGACGTCACCGCGCCGCCGCCGGTCGCCGCCTGCTGCTTACACCACAATAGAATTTACACAAAATCAACAATATAACAAATATCTTTTATTCACAAATAGAGAAAATTCAAATAAAATAGGGTACGCTAGGCATAACGCGTGCGCACTATATTTATTTAAAGTTGCAGTATTTACAGGACGCAAAAGCTTCACAACAAATTGGAGCCGCACCTCGTGGAGTGTTTTGATTTCAAATTAACGTCTTGGCACACAACAGTTTTGGCCTTCATAATTTAATTTCATCAATTTATTAAAAGGAATAACATCATTGCACCTACATTGTGGACAAACGATCGGCGAATGTACTAGTTTTAGAATGTGAGTGCGAACGTATTTAGTACGTTGCATGTAGATGAGAGCTGAACTCTGTTCCCTGTGCGGTGCGGGTGCGGCGCGGGCGCGGTGCGGGCGCGGCGCGGGCGCGGGGCG